GTTTAGATAATGCCTAGTTGATGTAAGGGTGGGACCAGTTGGCTTTTCTCTCTTCTCTATCCTCTGAGGATGAAGCTGCTCTGTTCCTGCATTTCAGATCCATTTCACTTTATAGTGACTTTCTTTATTACTTTATTAAATAGAACAAAAGAAAACTTTATCCTTGAATTATTTATCAGTTCCTCTGAAGAGTTTCCTCCGCACTGTCTGTGCAGGGTACTACCGGGACCGGAGGAACAAGTTTCCCTACGAGCGCCGCCCCGAGTCCAGAGCGTACCTGGCCCCTGAGGACGGGGACTTCTACTACTGCGGGGAGCGTTCGGGGCCGGCTGCAGGAGGTGCACCTGATGGCCAAGACCTGCCGCCGGGACTTTGAGGCTGACGCTCGAGGGGGCATCGAGGCCGCCTGGCAGGAGGAGAGTCGAACTGAAAAGGTACTGCAGAAACCCCTTAAAACTGAACCGCTCTGAACTGCACAGGTACTGCAGAAACCCCTTAAAACTGAACCGCTCTGAACTGCACAGGTACTGCAGAAACCCCTTAAAACTGAACCTCTCTGCAACTAAATACTGAATAAAAAGATAACCAGATGGATCCATCAGGACAAGGACTGATCCTGTTCCAGTACTTCCTATTCTGTCAGTACTTCCTATTCTGACTGTACTTCCTGTTCTGAAGGTACTTTCGGTCCACACAGTACTTCCTGTTCTCAAAGTACTTCCTAATTTGACTCTACTTCCTGTTCTCAAAGTACTTCCTGATTTGACTGTACTTCCTGTTCTGAAGGTACTTTCGGGGTGTTTCTCAATGGCGAGTAGCTTGCTTGGTAGCACATGTCTTCCGAGCGTCTTGCTTCAGAAGCGAGGCAAGAATACTTCCTGGCATTCGGAAAACAAAGAGTTTTGGGGAAATTGGTCCGTGCGCAAAGCATTGTGGGGATTTTAAGGACGCAAAGTCTACCCATGTGCAGCCTCGAAATTTCTCCAAACGAAGTACGCCGATCTCGGTAGAATTCCAAGTATGCTGGAGATTGGAACAGTACTTCGGCGGCACACGATGACGTAGTGTGCTTGAAATAGTGGCTCTGGAGCAGCTTTACTCAACATTGAGAAACACCCACGGTTCTCAAAGTACTTCTTGTTCTGACTACACTTCCTGTTGTGACAGTACTTCCTCTGTTGTGTTCAGGTACATGTGGATCCATAAGCCCACTAAGGTTCTGTCCCCGGAGTACCTGTGGCAGGACTTCAAGTCCAGAGAGCCGGAGATCCGCCTGGTTCGGTTCTCCGGAGTCACGAAGAACTACGCAGAGATCCGACCCAACATCTAGACACACACACACACACACACACACACACACACACACACACACACACACACACACACACACACATACACAGACACACACACACACGCATACACATACACACACACATACACACCTACACG